TTCTTTCGGAGATGATGGAGAGCGAAACGCCTCCCATGGACTCCCCAGCTCAAGAAGCGGGCGACCTTGAAGTGTCGTCGCGGAGGGTCACCCCGGATCCGGTGAGGCCTGAAGATAATCCTATGGTCGCCCGAAGTCCCCAGTATCCGGCTCTTGAAGAGAGCAAAGAAAAGAATCCGGCACCGTCTGGTATGCGGTCGGACGCACTAAGGGATCTGCTAGGGCGAGCCACTATCTCAGAAGAGCACCGTACATTGATGGGTACGGTGATTGAAAGGATATCGTCCGCCCAAAGCGGTTGCATGAAGCCTTTATGAGTCTACTGACAGGCTTTGAGGTACGTGAAATGATATGCATTTGTGGTAGTACCGCACATTTTTAGGCGTGCCCTGTGTAGATAGTAGCCCCTGAGACTCTGGTTGTCGTCGAAAACGGCGGCGAACAGAGGATCGTAGTCCCAGGTAATAACCAGACCGCCTTTATGTGCAGGTGTCTGAAGCTCCGGTGGCTAGCCGGACTAATGGGGTTGCCGAACTAAAGCGGCAACTGGATGCGGTGGATCTCGGGTAGGGGGTCCCGAACTGTGCGTCTAAGGCAGATGGTAACAGGAGGCAGGGGACACGATGTTTTACCCAGGTTCAGGCCCTCTTGATGGAGGTAAAACCCTACGTCCTGCTTGATTTATTCTTGATGATATGAGTATTACAAGAGTTGATCTACCACGAGATCGGAGAGGCTAAACCCTAGAAGCTAGCCTATGGTATGATTGTATGTTGTCCTACGAACTAAAACCCTCCGGTTTATATAGACACCGGAGGGGGCTAGGGTTACACAAGGTCGGTTACAAAGGAGGAGATATACATATCCGCATTGCCTAGCTTGCCTTCCACGCCAAGTAGAGTCCTATCCGGACACGAGATGAAGTCTTCAATCTTGTATCTTCATAGTCCAAAAGTCCGGCCAAAGGATATAGTCCGGCTGTCCGGAGACCCCCTAATCCAGGACTCCCTCAAATACTCTACCCTCGAAAACTGTTGCGATCCCCTATACTTGTGGGTTATCAGAGGGCAACCGTGGATACGGCTAGCCATGGAAAGTGAAAGTTATGGTGGAAAAAGGAATAAACTTTATTTTCTGTTTGGGAACCGCCTATGATATATCTATGCATGGAAAGTATTGGGAACTCTAAGTCATTTTCGTTGGTGGGATGGATACACCTCCCAAAATGTTTTTTATCTCTAAGTTTTTCGCTTTGAGCTCTGGCACCTCTACAAATCTCTACTTCCCTCTATGAAGGGCCTATCTTTTACTTTATGTAATTTTTATTTTGAGTCTCCATCTTCTCTTATAAAAGCACCAACTAGGAGGCAATATGATCGTGCTTAAGTATTGGGTGTAGTTAATATTCGAGTGTGTTTGATGAATGGATCAATGTTTGAGCATGATGGGATAGGGATAACTTATTTTAGCGTTGACATTTTGAAAGACATGGTTGCTTGTTGATATGCTTGAGTATCTAAATTATTATGTCAAAACTAGACTATTGCTTTGAGTCACATAAAATTCCAATTGTCTATGCTATAAAGAAAAGAATATGATATGACATGATGAACATCACTCCACATCAAAAAATTTGTTTTTATCACTTACCTACTAGAGGAGGAGTAGGAGTTAAGCTTGGGGATGCTGATACGTCTCCAACGTATCTATAATTTTTGATTGTTCCATGCTGTTTTATTATCAATCTTGGATGTTTTATAATCATTTTTATATCATTTTTTGGTACTAACCTATTGACATAGTGCCAAGTGCTACTTGCTGTTTTTCCATATTTTTTACATTGCAAAAAATCAATATCAAACGGAGTCCAAATGCCAAGAAACTTTACGGAGATTTTTTATGGACCAGAAGGAAGATATTGGGCCCTGCTAGCACCTGGGGGGAGTCCCGAGGAGGGGACAACCCACCAGGGCGCGCCATGAGGCCTAGGCGCGCCCTGGTGGGTTGTGCCCACCTAGGGTGCCCCCGGACCGCCTCTTTGCTCTATAAATACCCAAATATTCCCCAAACCCTAGGGGAGTCGACGAAATATTCATCCAGCCGCCGCAGAGTCCAGAACCACCAGATCCAATCTAAACACCATCACGGAGGGGTTCACCACTTCCATTGGTGCCTCTCCGATGATGCGTGAGTAGTTCTTTGTAGACCTTCGGGTCCGTAGTGAGTAGCTAGACGGCTTCATCTCTCTCTCTCTCTCTCTCTCTTGATTCTCAATATAATGATCTCTTGGAGATCCATATGATGTAACTCTTTTGCGGTGTGTTTGTTGGGATCGATGAACTTTGAGTTTATGATCAGATCTATCATTTTATATCCATGAAAGTATTTGAGTTTCTTTGATCTCTTTTATGCATGATCTCTTATAGCTTCGTATTTCTTCTCCGATATTTGGGTTTTGTTTGGCCAACCTGATCTATTTATCTTGCAATGGGAAGAGGTGCCCGGTAGTGGGTTCGATCTTACGGTGCTTGATCCCAGTGACAGAGAGGGAACCGACACGTATGTATCGTTGCTACTAAGGATAAAAAGGTGGGATCTATATCTACCGCCATAGATAAACGGATCTTGTCTACATCATGTCATCGTTCTTATTGCATTACTCCGTTTTCCCATGAACTTAATACACTAGATGCATGCTGGACAGTGGTCGATGTGTGGAGTAATAGTAGTAGATACAGGCAGGAGTCGGTCTACTAATCTTGGATGTGATGCCTATGTAATGATCATTGCCTGGATATCGTCATAATTATTTGAGGTTGTATCAATTGCCCAACAGTAATTTGTTTACCCACTGTTTACTATATTTCTCGAGAGAAGCCACTAGTGAAACCTACGACCCCCGGGTCTTCTTTCTCATATATTTGCCTTTGCGATCTACCTTTTTATTTGCTTTTATTTTCAGATCTATTAAACCAAAAAACCCAAAAATACCTTGCTGCAATTTATTTTATTTGGCGTTCGGTCTATCAATATTTACAATTTTTTCCCGTCCACGTGCCATTTCTGGCGCCGTTACCCGAAAGGGATTGACAACCCCTTTAACACGTCGGGTTGCGAGTGGTTGTTATTTGTGTGCAGGGGCTATTTACGTTGTGTTGCTTGGTTCTCCTACTAGTTCGATAACCTTGGTTTCATATCTGAGGAAAATACCTACCGCCGCTGTGCTGCATCATCCCTTCCTCTTTGGGGAAATACCGACGTAGTTTCAAGCGACATCAGTTTGCGCTAGTGCATGAGGAGGAGTGCCGCCGCGGCCCCCACATCGACCACCACGTTCCACTGCCGCCCCCGCGGGTATTGCCGGAAGATGAGGAGGCGGAGGCGGAGTACCAAGCCGCCCTCGAGGAGGCCGTGCAGCACGCGCTGAAGGCGAGCCGGCTCGAGGAGGACGTCTGTTGGGATGGGCTGGAGCATGCCCTTGCCTTGTCCGCAGCAGGGGACTCCGTCCATACGCCCATGTTCGTCCCGCCACCGCCGCTGGTGCCGCCCCTCGTCGAGCCCAAGGCCGAGCTGGAGCCGAAGTGCGAGCCAATGACCACGCGGAAGTGGTCGCCGCCGCCCCCACTTGGCTTGAGGAGTCCTATTTGTGGACCGGCCAGCTTCGCGAGTGGGTGAGCGCGCCTCCCTGCTACTACGTCTCCACGCTGGAAGAGGAGGCGACCCACCTTGAGCGCTGGAAGGCGCATTGGCTCACCGAGGAGGAGGCCGACGGCGAGCAGTAGATGCGCCGGGAGCAGTAGCTGCGTCGCGACGAGGAGGCATTGCGGCTTGAGGAACATGAGGAGGAGCGTGCGTTCGCCACCGCAGCAGACGTCGGAAGAGGCTGCCCTGGCGACCTATCAAGCAGCGTTTGGTTGGGTTGGCCGCTTCCTGTCTTCATTGACCTCACTGGCGGCAACGACGACGACGGCAAGGGCAAGGGCAAGGCGGTCCACTAGAGCAACGTGCGGGCATTTAGAGTTTTTTTAATGTTTAGTTATGTTCAAGTGGACTTTGGCCGACGGTTGACCGGCCATTTTAGGCTAGTTATAATGGAAGTATCATAAGTAGTATCATGCATGCCAACTAGGCAAATTTTATGAGGTGACATAGAATTAAATGAAGAAAGAGAGGGTTGAGTATCATATTAAATATTCTGCTACTATGTGTCATGCATGCTAATAAATGAAGTCATCTATGATACTATGCACTACGGATGTAGTATCATACACTAGGACCTTCTTTGGTTCATAGGATAGGAATTTTATAGAAATAGGAAAATTATAGGAAGTGAAATGACATGCATGTCAATTCTTATAGAGAAAGAGATGCCATTTGGTGCATAGGATATGATTTTTTTCATTGAGTCTAGGCTAATATTTTTTCCCTCCAAAACGTGAAGGATTGATTCCTACATAGGAATAGGAATTCATTCCTACAAACCAAAGGGCTTCAAAAGAATTTTTCCTTTGCAAATCCTATCCTATATAATTCCTACAAAAATCCTACAAATCAAAGAAGGCCTAGTATCATATGCATGATACTAGTATATGATACTTTCCATTACGACCAACCTTATGTATAATTATACTTTATTAACTTTGTTTCGGCCACGTGGATGAAAATGGGTATGCCTCCGTTGGGCGCACCAGCAGATCCAAATCAAAAAGTGGACACACATGTCCGCCTGATCGACCCAAATGGATGAAAAGCGAATAAAGCGTGCGTCCGTTTGAATCGCCCCGTTGAAGTTGCTCTAATATAATGTAAATCTATTTTTTTTTGAGACGAGCCCTTTAAACCGGAAATTAGGGAGTAACAGATCTGAATTATTTTCGTAAAAGAAGTTTGAAAAGGGAGCTGAAGCGGCAGCTTCCTTTTGTGCTGTGTGCTTAGGTAGACGGTCGCCGAGCTGAATGCTGCTCTGACCTGCGCGGGTCCCACGCTTCAAGGCTTGGAGGATGGCCGGTGTGGGAATAAAGGGCGTGGGAGAGCGGAAAAAAATTGCGGGCTCCACACAAGAGAAAACCGCAAACACCCCGTTAAACCTCCACGGTGACTGCATACGCCGGCGCTGCTGCCTCGCACAACTTCGAGGGGGAGCTGTCCGCGGCGAGCGAAGTTCGGCATCTCCTTCTCGCCGCTCCGTGGCGGCGATGCCACCTCGGGCTATCAGCATAAAGGTCCGCAATCCCCCTCTTCTGAAGTTTTTTTTGTCAATTTCATGCCGCAACTTCTACGCCGATGAATATTTGATCCGAGGCAGCGGTGCAGGGATCTATGATGACCAGCTTCCGATCTAATTTGAGGTTTCTTTGCCCGCTTTTCCCCAGGTGGCGAGGGAAGAAGATTTGTCCTCACACATTGGAAACGATGGCTTCTATTTTGATCTCGTCGACTTCGACAGGGTGAGGGCTTTCCAGATCCCGGATAACACGACTATGTCCCGATTGAAGGTACCACCTTGCCTTATTCAACTACTAGAAGGACCACTGTTTCACTAAAAAGCTTAAACCCTAAATTTGGTCTATAGGATTTTGTACTTTTTAACAGATCTATCCGTAAGACTTCAAGGAGCTGAGATAACGAGGCTTTTAGTTTAGGAGAAGTTAGGCCTTGCCTTAGCCCGTAGCAATTTTTTGTGCTGAGCAGGTAGAGGATCTCTCATTTAGTCCTCTCCTGCAAGCATTTTAGCATCTCTGCTTCTGGGTGTGTGCTATGTTGTATTCTGTTGTTAAGTAATAGGCCATTTTCATGTGATTTTTTTAACAGTTTTGCTAAAGCACATCTAGATGTGCTAACCCCTTTTTTTAATGTAAGTCTATTGTGGAAATCATGAGTCGCTGTACAAATTTTCCACTTCACCCCTTCTTCAATGAAGTATGGAGTATAACAGGTTTGAGTGGTCGTAGACTTGTTGCATGTTATTTAACAGAGCTATATAGAGATTGGCTTTCATCACTCTGCATTGGTGTACCTTATTGCAAAGAGAAAACTGCATTAGAACCCCCTAAACTATCACAAGTTCCTCACTTGACTCCCTCAACTTGAATCTCTAGGCTGGGGCTTCCTAAACTTGTCTTCATCTCACCTAGCTCAACTCCAAAAAACAAAATGTGCCACATGATCATCCCCCTCAGCATCTTCTCTTAGTATAACAGAGAAAGGGGGCTATGGAGCTCAAGCTGCATTTATAGTTTTTAGTATGTATGGTCCATTCTATCTATATCTATACTTCTATACTTCTAAATTGAATATGAAAAGAGCGAGTTGCGGAGATCCAACACATCTCACCCGTCCATGTGTTTAGTGCAAACAAGGTTAGCATCCTCCCCTAATTAATAGCATACCTGATATCAGCGCCAATGCTACCAATTAATTATATTCTACCAAATATCAACCTGCTGCCAAACATAAGTGTGCAATGCAATTGATATATTGCCTAATATTGACGTGCATTTCACGTACATGATTACTAGTATCATTAAATTTGCTAAGAAATTTCTACCCCAAATGTTTTAGCTGAAGAATTCCAGATGATCAGCAGGGTTTTCTATTTTCCATCAATTGTAAGATTGAATGACGAGTTTCTATTTTTATGTTGTTTATAGATATATCTTGTGCAAGCAGACAAATATGTTCCTTTCCATCGTATTGTTTCTGATGGTTCATAATGACTTCAGTATTAATTGGTTAAGTTGTTCACAGGAGGAAATTGCAGTAGAGTTCAGCATCCCATCTCAATTTCAGCGCCTCTGGTTGTTTTGTAAAAGGCAAAACGGGACATGGCGTCCTGTTAGGCCATTCTCTACCGAAGAAAACAATCTATCTGTAAGAAGGCATTGTTCATGCTACGTTCTGGTTGCCGTTTTAGACAACTTATGTTCTTACTGGTTCTTGATACAATTCTTCTTGGCAGAACTTTGGGAGTAGCCCGTTTGTGTCTAGTTAGTTTGGTTGTTATCATCTTATTATCTATTGGAAATTGGGTGTCGCTGTGGCTATGCGAGCTTGCACTCAGCCCACTTCGTTTAAGGATGCCTGGCTTATTTTCTTATTACAAAAAGGTGACATCAGGAGCTAGTCCCTGCTCCCTGGTTGGTCTTTTTTCTTATCTTATCTATGGGTGTATCTATTTTTTAGCATCTTATCATCCATATCCTATTGTGCGAAGAAAGAAATATACTACATTCTCTAGTATCTTCCTATATTATTGTTTAGGAGCACCCGCCAGTGCTTAGATGAGGGCGAGCGCCATTGCCTAGGTCCTCTGACCCATAACCAAGCTGTTATAGGGCATCCTAGCGTAACCACCCATTTAAGGGATAAGATCCTGCTAGTCAGAATTAAGAATTCACAGCCAATGTTTATGTTACGGCTAATAATCTTACTATATCTTAATTCATGCTTACAAATGTTTCATAGTTAATACACGATAATTACTAAACTAATCATGAGTTTAGCACAATTCTAATGCTGCATGATGGAGAAACTCAAATTAGCCTTCTTTAGTTCCACTGCAGCAAGAATAAGGGATCCCCTCAGGGTTTGAGCTAGCCTGGCGCACTTATGAAGTACACGCAACCAATCAGCGCCGTACCTTGTAGTTGTAGTCTGTGCTAGCTTGTCTATCTCATGCAACCTAGGCAACCAATGATGCCTTATATGAAAGGATAATTACAAATAATTACTCTTGCAGATGACTAGCCTTCATAAACTATTGTCAAGGACCTTCTTGTTCCTGAATCCTGATGGTGTGAAGCTGTTTTTGGAGGTTGATCCTGAAACCTGAACTTGAACATATTTATATTTACCTTTGTGGATGTCTGTAAAAAGGACCCTTCTTGTTCAATCCAACGGCTTATTTATTTAAATTCTCTCGCTATTGGCTCCTTGTAGGTGCTCAATGATTCTTCCCCACAAAATCTGAGCAACGATGATGGATTAGTGTTTTTAAAGCTTTATGACCCAGAACAAACGCAGATACGGTCAGTACCTTTTACTTAGAAGTTAAAACTCTCTTGTTCTTTTTTGTTTATCAGTTGAGATCTTTAATTTATACTCTGTTCTCTGAATGAGGCTCACAGATATATTGGAATGCTGTTTGTAAAAGCTTCATCAAGGCCTTCAGATATTCTTCCGAAACTAAGAAGTCTAGCTGGTTTTTGTGCAGATGAGGAAATGGAATTATATGAGGTCAGGTTTTGCTTTACTGCAATCTTGCCACTACTAATCTGAAATGCAGTTTTTCACCACCACATTTTATGTTTTCTCATTTTAATATGCAGGAAATCAAATTCGAACCTTCTGCCATGTGTGAAGCCATAGATGCCAATATTACATTTTCAGAAAGCCAGGTTCGTCTCTGTCTCTGCTGTAAATATCTGCAACTGAGGGCGTTTTAAAATGAAAAATTCAGGTCGGGGAACCTCTCCCCCAGTGACCTTTCAAAAAAAAAAACAGGTATGTATTTCGTGCAAGCGTCTTCACATTTCCATGCCCTTTTAAACACTTTCTTGGTCCTTTTCTTCTTGCAGATTGGGCATGGGGATATCATTTGCTACCAGAAAAGCTCGAAGTCTTTGAGCCACCATGCATACCCTTCTGTTGAAATATTCTTCAAGCGTATTCATGATTTGAAGGCAGTTGTTCCGGTGCTTTACTTTCCCATCTCTGAAGACTTAAATTCTAGCTCACTGCTATTGGTGGCATGATTATATTTTTCGTCTTCTTTTTTAGGTTTCTCTCTTGGATCCTTATTTCGGCAATACCATCATCACGTAGTATATTTTCTAGTTTGGCTCTTGGATTTGTCTGAGTCACGACTGACGACATTTTTTTTACATGGCTGCTGCTGATGTGCTGTTGCTGCTTCTTTTATACGCCTCCTGAGTTGCTGCTGGCAATGTTGAAAAAAAATGGCTGCTGCTACCTGCTGTTGTTACTGTCTTTATTAATGGGGCAATATTTTGATGTCATCTCACATCTCATTTTTTTTGTTTATCCTTATTACATACTCCCTCCATCCCATAATCTAGGACCTTTTTTGACACTATGTACATTTTATTAATTATTTGTATAGTCGCCGTATCGCTGAATTGCTGTTTCTAGAATTGCTGTATCCCATGTCCCTGTTTCCTTATCGTCGTATCGGTATTTCGTCGGTAGTTTGAAAAGCAAATATACTCATGTGAACATCTACCCCTACTATATCTGCCCCTCGTTCCCCTTTTATGATTCATGCCAAGCTGATCGTTGATTCTGTTGTTATTTTCAGCTTTTCCCAAGTTTTATTTTTGTAAACAGTTGAGTATGGGTTTGGAGGAACAAACATATGCTTTTTGTTGCTGTTATTGATGTCATGATGCTGGCATCTGATTTGCCTCTATATGTGCCAACGTTTATGTATTCCTTGCAGTTCCTTGTATTTTGTAGTTTGTGCAACTAGCAAGGTGCCGTTTACGTAATGACAAGAATTACATGTAGGGGGAGCAAAGGAAGATATTAGCTCTGGAAGAGGAGGTTGCTAGGTTAAAACATCAGTCTGACCTTCAAACAGAGAAGGCAAACATGGGTAGTTCTACTAACCAAGAACTTGTCTAACTTCTCATTCTCCATTGTTTAAAAGTACACTATAAATTTGTAGCAGCAACATATAAGATACACCAATGCAATGCAGAATGCCAGCGATTTAAACGTGAGCGAGACAATGCGGTACGACAGCTGAATGAGCTGCAGGATCAGAATCCTCAGATTTTCCTCGAGTTTCCCATCACAAATTTGCTGCAAGCAACGGAGAACTTCAGTGACCTGTGTAAGGTTGGAGACACCGAATATGGACGTGTATATAAAGGCATTATACACGATACTACAGTAGCTATCAAGCTATGCAGATCTGATATTTTATTTCAACAAGAGGTAGCCTATGCCTGTATTAATGTATCACTTAGCTGATTCTGTTACTAACATAAGGTCATCACAGGTTTCTATTCTTCGTCAAGGCAGACATCCAAGCATTGTCAACTGCATTGGAAAATGTTCTGAAGTTTCAGCTCTTGTGTACGAGTGGTTGCCAAACGGAAACCTCCAAGATCACATTGTTTGTGCTAATGGCTCTACACCTCTCTCGTGGCAGATCCGCACACAGATCATCGGTGAGATTTGTTCTGCGCTGCTGTTCCTGCATTCGTGTGAGCCTCATGCTTTGGTCCATGGCGATCTACGTCCTTGTAACATATTTGCCAATGCCAACTTCAGAAGCAAGATCTGCAACTTTGGTATGTTAACCCTGTTTCTCCAGCCCGGCAACCACCAACCAGCTCTGACAGCCAGGTTGCCATACCTGGACCCGGAGTTCCTCACCACCGGAGAGCTCACACCCCTTTCTGATGTCTACTCTCTGGGTGTTATCATCCTGTGTCTCTTGACTGGATTGCCTCCCTTGACTATTGCAAAGAAAGTTTCAGAAGCATTGGAGAATAATAGCTTGCACACGCTGATTGATAAATCAGCAGGGAACTGGCCTTATGTACAAGCCAAGCAGTTAGCCGTCATTGGTCTTAGCTGTGTGGAAATGACGAGGGAAAAGCGACCTGATCTCTTAACAAAGGTATGGCCAGTTGTTGAGCCCCTTATCAGGAAGCCTCCTGCAGCCCCATGGCCATATGTCCAATCGGCAGTTACAGGAAGTTCCGCGCCTGGCCACTTGATTTGTCCAATTCGCATGGTAATAACTTTTGTCAGCATTTCTATCATTTCCAATAGCTTGGGGTCTGGGGATATGTTTTTATACTAGGATAGGAATTTTCTTATTGATGTGGAAACAGGTTAGACAACAAAATTTTGAAGGCTGCCAGGGGCCAGTTAATAACATATTTTGCCCTTCGTTTCTTGGAGTGGTTATAATGCATGTCTAAAAGATTCCCTGCCTAATGACCGCCGGGTGGTAAACCTGTACATTTCAGGATATTATGAAGGATCCTCAAGTGGCATCTGATGGATTCACTTACGAAGCAGAAGCCATAAGGCGCTGGTTTGATGGCGGGAACAACAGGTCTCCGATGACGAACTTGCCGCTAGCAAATCGTGATCTCGTCCCAAATCGCGCCGTCCTCTCTTCCATCCAGGAGTACCATGAACAGCAGAGGCAGCCAGGTTCCTGAACCTCAATCTTCTGACGACATTAGGGCAATATGGCTATATGTATATGTATAACTTGCTGCGTAGGTATCCTGTACATTCGCGAGCAGTTTACCTCTAGTCGATCTTGTTATGTTCACAATCTGTAGCATGACGAACCAAGGATTGATCTTGTTATGTTGAAAATCTACTAATTAATTCCGTTTGGAATTCGCAATCTGCTAATCTTACTCTGCAATGTTTTGCAGTTATACCTTGTTTGGCAATCTAGTACCCCCTCCGTCCTATATTTCAGCGACAAATATGGGACGGAGGGAGTATATGACTTGCCTTCGTCTAGGGTTTTACACTTTTAATGCTTTGCCAGCTATGGAAAATACCCCTTGGCTGTCAGGTGCATATGCACCTGCTATGAAAAACTAAATTAATAATTGCGGAAAAATAAAAAAAATAAAAAAAATTGGCAACAAATTTGACTTTCTGTTTTTCTCGTATGAAAAGTTTTGCCAATGAAAATCTCCAGTAGACTTTTGAAAAAAAAAGAGGACAAAAAGTGTGAATGGTAACTTGTATGTAGTGTTAATTATTTTTTTCGCCCACAAACCATGAAAGTCATTCCTTAGCGAATTTACACGAGTATATAACACTAATCATATCTGTTGCTAAAAAGTTTGAGCATCTTTTGACTTCTTTGCAATTACTATTTTTTAAAAATCGGATGCAGCGACACCCGAGAGCCAAACGTCTGCCTCCATTTCAGCTATGCTATTTGTACCAGGGGTGTTCCCCAACTTAAAATTGATTGCACTAATCAAATAATTAAATTGAATATTTATTTTGCAATTTTGTTAAATGGTAAATAAGTAAACCCCTTCTCTCTTCGTGCCTTGACTCGAGACTGACCCCCGAACCATCGACCTCTTGTGATGTTTGGAAGCTACCTAAATTATTTGGCAACGTTTGCACAAGCCTAGATATCACCTGTAATGCAACCATCTGTTCATCGGCATGATGGCTTTCCTCAAAAAAATAGTGAAGATATTTTCTAAATATAAATGACACAGTTCCTCCGATTGACTTGGGATGATTTGTGCGGCCTCAATATATTCTAGCGAGGCTACGTTTAAAATTTCGTCCGAATCGAAGTTCGTTTGGCGCTTGAACAATTAAATATGCGGTCGCAGTAGTCGGTTAAATAAATAAATACAATTGCTAAAAAAAATGTCTAATTGGGCCAGCCTGCATTTCCCTCTCTCTAGCCCAATAGGCCACCTCAATTGCCACCTAAGTCCAGCCCAGGATCCCCACCTAGGCCCTGCTATAAAAGGCAACCACTCCCTGGAAAATGCACATGAGCTTCTGGGTGCTCCACCCCCTTATATGAATATCAAATTCAGAAAATACCAGAGATATTAAAAAAAACTGGAATCTTGGGATATCAAATCTGGGTGTCCAATCTACCCCGGTTTGAAGTTTCATAGAAAAATACCAAGAACTGTGTCCGCGACGAAGAAAATATAGTCTGATGTAAACTTTGTGCATGAAGTTATTCTCCTATTTTTTGTAAACTTTGTGCGAAGTGTTCTTATCTTTTATGTGATTCCAGATGCTAAACAAGGAATGTGGGAAAGTTGATTAAGCTAGCCACCTGTTTGCCTCACATGGGGATAATGATTTACGATGTGATGATGTGGAGGCAGGAGGTGTCGACCATGGCGGAGGTGGCGATGGAGAAGATCTAATCATCTGCTACAAATCTACCGGATACGCAAGGGCATTGTGAGTTACTTGTGACTTTTACCCTCTTGATTGATGCAAGAGTTGTTCGACATTGTAGTATGGACATGCCTACTTTTTTGAAATTTTTCTTTCTTTAGTATTTGAGTTCACGACTTCACTTGAATTGAAGAGCATCGGATATTGTTAACCATTATTTTGTTTAGAAAGCTTCCTACAAAAAAACTATTAAGAAAGCAGAGTCATTAGTGTGTTTCAAAGAAGGGAAACGTTTTACGCCGGCAGGCCGGCCAAGCTCTTGCGCCGGTCACACCAGAAACGTGCGATGGGTTGTGATCGTACGATGCAGCCAGCACCGCTCTTCTTTAAAAAAATCTCATTTAACCTTATCCTCTTACGTCTGTTCCCAACCTTATCCTCTCGCATCTATTCCCCATCGCTCATTCTGTTTCTCTCACCAGAGAAATTTCTGCCCCAAACGCTCATTCTCTCTGCTTCGTTGCTTTCACCGGAGCTTCTCCCTACCCAACCTAGCCCCGCCGCTGACCTGCTACTTCGATCCAGGGGTGACGGTGGCGCCGCCGCACGGCTGTTTCTCCCGCTGCTGGTGGTCGCCGATGCCGGTCAGGTGCCGCGCGGAGAGAGCGGAGACGCGGTGCGCTTGCGGTGGAGAAGGCGCCACCGCATGTCGCCGGAAATCACGAGCTGTGGGAGCGCCGAGATCCCCTGCCCATGGGTGGATTCGGCGACCCGCGGGTGGTGGTGTTGCGACCAGCGCGTGACGGTGCTGGGACCAGCGTCCGCCGGTGCTGGAACCATTGACGTCAGAAGCTACATCCGGTGACTCCGCGAGCTGCAACGGCGGTGGCCGGAAGCTGCGATGATGGTGCCCCAGTGCTACATCCGTCGACGGCAGAAGCTACATCCGGCTCCTGCAAAAGCTATGAGTGGCCCTTGCAAAAGCTGCCACCGGCAAGTCTGACGGGCTACGACCGGCGGCTTGGAAAGCTTCAACCTCTGCATGCGGAAGCTACAACCGGCGCCCGTAGAAGCTGCAACCGGCGAGGTGCCGACTGCGATGGCGGCTTAGAAAGCTACAACCGGCGGTGGGAAAGCTGCATCCGGCGCCTTCAAAAGCTGTACCCGGCGGCGCGGAATGCTGGAACCGGCGGCACGGCGTGCTACAACCGGCAAGGCAGCGTGCTACGACGGCAACATTTTTTTGCTGGATCCCTTTGTAAGTTTTGCTGGAACCGGCATTTGTTTTTGCTGGAACCAGAGAGATTTTTTGCTACGACCAGCGGGCAGCGACTCATTTTTTGCTGGATTCAGTGATTTATTTTGCTGGAACAGAAGATTTTTTTTGCTGCTACTGGCTTTTTTGGAATTTTTGTTGCTGACTTTGTGATTTGTTGAGACATGATAATGCAGGCCGATGACGGCGACGCCGGAGGCGGTGACCATGGGATGTTGCAACCACGGTCATCCCGTGCTGGCACCGGCTATTGGAGAGCTGCAGTCGAAGTTGGGAACCCACCGGCGCTGGTGCTGCAATCTTGCGGCTGAAGATGGTGAGTGCTGGGAACAGGAGCGCGCGGCGGCACGAGCGCCGGCGAAGTCGAGTGGCGTGGGTGGCCGGAATACATGGGATGCAGAGGAGGAGTCCAGCTAGTCGGCGAGACAGATCCAGCGTGTTTGACTTTTATTCAGGGCGTTTAGCGATTCATCTGAACGGTTTAAATGCGCTGTATCCTACGGTCGCGGGGCGACCGGCCCAAATTTGGGCCGGCGCACCGGCGCCTATAAGTGCCCTTCAAAGAAGCTATATACATGCCATCTCGCCAAGCACTGTTAACATGTTTTTTTAGGAGCATTTTTTCCCCACCATGTCTTCATCGGGGCTGTCACCGGCACACTCCTCACTTCCTAAACACATATTCTTCGTGCATGTACTTGCAGTGCATGATTCTCCTATTCGAATAACAACAGTACATAGAGCCATTCACTGGAAATGCCTTCTCTTACACCTTGTGGTTGATTTTCCAATTCTGCAGATAAACACTACCAAAGTAGATTTTAATTACGTCAACGAGCTCCCTAGTGAAAGCTTTAGCCATTTTTAATTGATCTGGTGCTAATTTACTACTTTACTGTTTGATATTTGGAATTGTTTTACTGTAAATAACTCAAATTCAGTGTGCAATGTGACACTACAACGACATGACATCACAGAACAAGAACTACTTGCTAAGCACAACCATAAAGTTTGTTATTCTGAATATTTTGATCTGGTCATTGAGATTTATTTTTAGGTGATCTATTTATCTGATTTTGTAATTATCGTTTCTCTAACTAATACTGCCATAAGTTAAGATGGTGAACTAAATCTGACTCTCTTACATATAGCCTATAGCAACCTTCCTTGAATGGATAGGCCGCCTAACTCCATTTTCTAGGATGGATTTTTTACAGGCTTTTTGTAAATGGGTATGTGTAATTTTTACATTGTTTTGGAGAGAGCCTATGGACTAGAGAAGCCATAGCAATGTGTCACACTATTTAGAATATTTGCAGCTGACATCATATTCTTCTTATCTAACCTTCTACTTCCCCCGTCTGGAATTAGTTGACACACAAATGGATGTATCTGAGATACATCTGTTTGAGCGTGTCAACTAATTCCGGACCTAGGGAGTAACATTTATTGAGGATAATCACTGGAAGAACGGTTTCTTCTTAAGAAACAACTGAAACCATCTTGACTAGATACAATAGTTTTTTTATGTTTTCAGTGCAGAACACACGGATGTCTAAGAAATTAAATTTTGTTTATAAGTAAGTATTTTTTTGTAGTTTCTTCATATAATAATCATTTATTCAACATCGGTCTTGATTAGTTGATTATTTAGTAGCAAAAATGATTCCATGGTGCCCATGTCAAGTCTAGCAGTGGATCAAAAAAAAGCATGCAAACTCATATTTGCTCTTTGTTGTATAGAGTATAAGCATTATTTGTGCGTGCCAGAGTTTGGAGTAAATGAGCTAGGCCAAATTTCCGTAACTTCCCCTAGCAAGTGTAATTATTTGAAGGAAATATGCCCTAGAGGCAATAATAAAGTTATTATTTATTTCCTTATATCATGATAAATGTTTATTATTCATGCTAGAATTGTATTAACCGGAAACATGATACATGTGTGAATACATAGACAAACAGAGTGTCACTAGTATGCCTCTATTTGACTAGCTCGTTGATCAAAGATGGTTATGTTTCCTAGCCATAGAC